TATTATTTTATCTTCTAGTACGGGAAATTTATCGGATTTTCGAAAACGCGTTGAAATCCAATTTGGCGTCCAACCCCAGGCCTTGGCAGCTGGAATCAGGATTGGCGCCAGACGCCAGCCATTGGCGTCTGGCGCTAGCCACTGGTCCTGACGCCAATGAGCCAGGGCTGGCGCCAAGGTTAGTTTTGTGGTCTTCAGACTCTGTTTTGATAAATTATCTTTTTTGGATGATTTTCTCTATAAATATCGTATCAAAAACTCCGTTTTCAATCATCATCTACATCTATCATTCACCTATTCTCTTTATTCTTAAGTTTTAATCAACTTTCTTCATTCACGAATTCTCATCAACAATTAGTTTTAATTAACATTCATCAATTTTCAATAACATTAATTCTTTAGCATTCTTTCTTCCTTGCTTTTTTATACACAATTCCGCATTCACAAGATCTAGAAACACCTAGCCATATTCGAAGTTGCCTTCGCCCTAGACATGAAAGGTTTTAATTTCTGAGGGTTTGGTCCCAAATCTCTCTTTCAATTATTTAATTTAATTGTTTTGATTATTATTTTCCTTGAAGTTACTAACGCGTGTATTTTGTAATTAGAAAGAGGTACGAGGCATCCAAGTAAGTACTTTAATTGATTTATTGATATTATGATGTAGAAATCATGTTTACATTGTTATTATGATATTCCTAGTATCATGTCTAGGGTAACTTTAATATTAAATATGATTCCTGCGATGCTTCCTATATTCTTTCTAATATTTATTCATGTTAGTATCATATTAGGGTTAAAGATTTGATTTTTATTGCTTAGTGACATGCTAGGGTTTGTTATTAATCTTGTTAGTATCATGCCTAGGATCTTGTTATTAATCTTGTTATTATTATTAATGATGTTGCTTGATGTGCATATTATTTTATATAGTTATTGCTTGATCACCTTTATTACATGTTTAAAGGGAATTGGTACTTGCAATCGCGCTTAATAAGATAATTAATAATCTTGTTAGGTTAATTGTGATTATAATTCAAATGATCGCCAATAATAGTTTGTTAGTGCATTAATATTCAACCAACATAGATTAAACAGGTTTAGGGTTAATCCTATTGATTGCATGTTAGTCAGAAAGCGCACATGAATACGAGCAGAATAAAGTAGAGGCCTAATATTAGGGCAGGTTCGATCTCTTTTAGGTTGGATTTGTACCATCATCCCCGAACCCTTATTATGTTCATGACCTTATGGTGTTGACGATCTCTTGGATAGTTAAGGGGTGTAACCTTCACCTCGTGAACGGTTTACAAGTTCCTTAAAAACTTGTTGGCGATTCTTTTGCTCTATCTTCTTCCCTTTTGGACGCCACCGTACTTTAGTGTATGATCACAGTGGGGTTCAAGCAGTGCAATTTTTTAAGGCTTTAAATTATTCCCTACAAAAAAAACCCCAAATTCAAAATTTGGGGTTTTGCGATTCGAAAATCGTCCCAATTAAGCCAAAAACAAACATTTTTTAGCAAAAATCTTACATTGGATTATGGAAAATGTGAATAGAGGACAAGATCGACTTCCTTTAGCTTTGAAAAAAAAAGAAAATCCAAGCTTTTTAGAGAGAGAAAGGCTCGAAAATGGCAAAGGAAGGAAAGAGAAGAAGTGAAATGAAAATCACGCTCCGCGATTTCTTTTTACTGATTTAAATGTCGCGCGCATATGCGCGTGCCTGGCTAGCGCGACCCACTGAGTTGCGCGTGGATACTGGTTGCTAAAAGACCGTTGTTTGAATTTCAATCCGTTTGATTAATTTTTAACAATTTTTGCTTGTTGTTAGACGTAATGGGCCGCAAATTATCGAGATTTTTTTTAATTGCTTTATATTTTGTAGTTTGTTTTCTTCTTTGATAGTTTTTTTGCATCATCCTGCTTTTTGCCTTCCCTAAGCATAAGTTTTGGATTTTTTTTGTAAGAGTGTCTTAAGACGTTCCTTATAGGTGCTTTACATAAAATCTCCCATAGACAGGTTTTTCATTTTACAGTACTGACTTTATAAATGTCAAGTCTTTTCTTCCCATTTCACGTCCACAGCAAAAAGGAAGGCGTTATCATATAGCGTAAAATTGTAAGGCGTTATCATACACCGTAAAAATGTATGGCATAGGTGTTGCGAAAATTTTCACCTCTTCCCATCTTACACGGGATCTACCTCTCATAGCTAAAAGGTAGAATTAATTTACATAACTTTAGGCGTTAGATCACGAGTCGACAGGCACGGCCGAACCATTCGAGAATAGACACTTATTGATTGGAAGCAAATACGGTAGTTCATGAGCTTACTGGCTTACCGGACAGTTAGGGTGTCGTCCACCCCCTGTATAAAGAGCGATGTGCAATGTCGCATCTATATAGGCACGTGCCCCGAATGCTGAGACACATATACTCATCTTGTGGACAAAACTGCTTAGAGAGTTGCCGATTTTCTTCCCTGTCAATGGATTTGGATATATGCCTCCAGTCCCGAGACATGTATCTCTATCCTCTGCATATCAAGTATTGCGTTTTAACAAGCGAATTGTCGAGAACTTTATTCAGGCAGCGAAAGCTGAAACACACAGGCAGCGAAAGCCGAAACACTCAGGCTGCAAAATCCGAAACACTCTTTTATCATCCTTGTTAAAATAGGCTAAATTTTAAATGACATATCGAGGGACTTTAGACCAACAATGACGTGATTGAGAGGACATCATCCCCTTTTAATTCTTTTTAAATCGATTTCTTATCATGACGTGACATCACACAGAATACTTTTACTTTAAAAGCATTCTACAATTGCAAAGTATTAATCTAGATTCTTTAGCGCGTTAAGAATAGAAAATAATATTTTCTGGCCTAAATAGATATTTATCTCAAGCGAATTGTCGAGAAATTTATTCAGGCTACGAAAGCCGAAACACTCAGGCTGCCAAATCCAAAACACTTTTTTATTATCCTTGTTATAATAGGCTAAAGTTTAAATGACATATCGAGGGACTGTAGACCAACAATGACGTGGTTGAGAGGACATCATCCCCTTTTAATTATTTTTAAACCAATTTCTTATCATGACGTGACATCACCCAGAATACTTTTACTTTAAAAGCGTTCTACAATTGCAAAGGATCAATCTAGATTCTTTAGCACGTTAAGACTAGAAAATACTCTTTTCTGGCCTTAATAGCTATTTATCTCAAGCATTTAGCGATTCAAGGATTGTTTTGACATCCTTAAACATTTCTGAAAGATTCTCTTATTCTTTGAGAACTTCGCAGAAAAGTCTCGGATCTATTTCCTTGACTACTTTGATCCTCGTCTATTCTAGACTCGATCAAAGTGGGGGCTAAATGTAGACATCTACTTTTGTAATATTTTGATTATCTTGAGTTTAATCAAGTTTAAGCTCAATTTTTAATTTTCATTTTTTCTTTTTTGGGGGAGAAAGTCGGATACCCTCCATCGATAATAAAAATGACGGAAATTTTTTGCGCAAAAATTAGTCATAATTTTTCACACTCGCATGCACAATAATATGAAAAATAAAAAATGCAAAGACAATAGTAAACATATATATGTGTACAAAGTGATGAGTAAAATGAGCAAAGTCCTAAAAACTCAAAATAAATCTAAGTACAGGTACATCTATGACGGCGGAGGACACAAATGAAAAGGAACTCTAAAAGTATCAAAGAATTATATAGTCCGTTGAGTATGCTGCTCGCTTGCAGCCTAATCTGAAGGAGCCGGAATCGTGAGAATAGGGTCGATCCATCCAAGCTCACCCTACTGCTACGCTCCCAAATGCTGAGATTGATGTGTATGCTGCGACGATGAGCCAACCTCGTACGTCCCACCACCCACTAAAGGAGCTGACGTCATGCCTCATTGACTGGTCGACCCCTTTGATTCACCCTCTGACAAAGAGACAGAACCCTCTAGCCTAGAAGTACGGTCTGAACAGGATTCGGCGACGCCTCGAGTCCTTGATCTCTCCCTCCTAGCCTCGGATCTCGTACGAGTATGCGTCGGAGGAATAGGCTGAAACAAAAAAAGCAAACTAAGTCAAGTACAAAACGACAAATATATACATAAGAGGAGTCAAGAGAAATAGCTCTATGTCGTCATCACCATGACCACACATAGCTCGGTGGCACAACCTCACGAGCTGGTAGCGGAATGCGTCCATGCCCCTCGCCATCCTCGTCAGCACCTCACGAGAAAACTGCTAAGTCACAAAGTCAGAAGTAATCAAGGCATATACACTAATGAGAAAACAAATAAAGTGACTCATTGAAGTGTGGTGTCGAGGTATCGACTCCTTTATGAAACGCCATGGCTCATGAGCCAGAGGAATCATCACCTCAACACGACCAAAAGTGCCAAGGTAGACGAAGGATACTGGTGGAGGCACAAAATCTCTAATCGAAGCCTGTCAAGTTAAACCTGAATAATTAGGATTGGCTCGAGGGCTATCAACTCAGATAAACAAATGTAAAATACAAAATGTACCTCTGTCGGCTCTAGCAATCGAGATGATGGGCCAAACGCGGCAAAAGCCTATCTCCATAACTACGGTTCGGATGTATATGGATTCGCCAATCCGAACCCGCTGCCGCCCGAGCCCTCAGCCTCGTCTAATCGAAAATATGACGAGGAGGGCAAGATGGAACAACAAGGGACTCTAAAGAGTGCTGAATCGCAACTCTCTCACCCAGATATACCACAACGCTGTATGTCTCCTAAAAATACTGACGCTGGGCAATGTATTCCACGTCCAATGTAGGAAAGATGAAATAATCCCACGATCGAAACTGAACCTCAGGCTCCTACAAAGCGAACGTCCATAAGTTTAAGTCCTGCTAAGGGTAATAAAAACACAGAATGTTAAGAAAACATACCGAGAGAATCAACTCTCAAACACGAGTAGTAACAGTCTGGTCGTTATAACGGCCTCTCCAACTATCAGCAATGGGGAGCCCTCAAAGCAAAGGCCTTGCTAGTGAAAAAGTAAGGAAATACTCTTGGAACCAGACCTATAAGACAGTGAAATGTCAGCAAATTCTAGCAAAAAACCTAAAACAAGCTTTAGTTAAAATAAATAAGTTATACCTCTACGAGCCCCAAAAATTGGAAAGTGTGACTTTACCGTCAAAACTGCGATGGCGACAAGCGAGTCGCGATCCAAGCAGGAAGTCCGCATAGGCCAAGCTGGCCAAGTTTTATGATCCAACCATACGAAGGTCATGAATAGAAGACAGATAGTATAGCAGCACACGGCTACTCTTGTCAGGGGAGAAGGTCCCCGACAAAAGAATCAAGGCAAAGATACACACCCGCTGCTCTAGGGTAGTCACACCATCCTGAAAGGCCTCCATCATCATTGTCTGGCGAATGCACCCAGTGCTAATTTGCGTCAATCGAGCCTCGCCACAAGCTCGAACAGCTATAGGGCCGATCAACTGTTCTACCTCTGGAGAGAAAATAGTAATGTCGTTGCCAAATAGAACTGAACCTTCTAGAACTCTAAACCGGTGATGGGAGAGAATTCAAGAGGAGTGATGGTCATCTTACCCAAAGGAAAGTGATGTCCCAAAAGAAATCCACCAGAGCTCGAGCAAAAGAGCGACTCAATAGGAAGGAGTATATGGCCCGAGTAGCTTGAAGTAGAGGAGTCGGACCACAAGACTCCCATAGCTCGCGCAACTCGTTGTTGTCGCAAAAGTGAAGGTCGTACAGCTGACCAATAGCCCCATTACCAAAGCCGTGGCAACGAACACGGTCACCGGTCGACCCAAGCCGCACCTGCTCCGAGATATGAAACCCGAGCGCGAAGTAAAGAGTGCGCTCGTCCCACTCGGGGAACTCCCCTAGGCTAGTAGAAGCTCCATCGCCTGCGTCAACGGGCTCGTCCTCCTGGTGAGCCTCGCGATACAAGAACCAGACCCACGTCGTCGATACATGCTAAATTATGAAAGACAATAGTAAATCAAAGGTTCTATAATGTCTAAGGTTTTCCTAGCCGCATGATACTATGTTTGAACAAAAACAGGGTACGTAGTACTAAAAACAGAGCATGATTTTTATTCGAGCATAAAATAGAATTTTCAAGCAATCAAACAATTTCTTACAATACTATGCCACAAAATTGTGACAAATTAAGCATGAATAGCTAGCAAGAACATCAAGAATGAGCCACATTGTTCTCATGAACTCGTAAGGCTCAACAATGGCAAAACGTTCGTTTCTCACCAAATCGAGTCAAACAAGTCTTAAATCACTCCCAAGGCAATATACAAGCATAAATAAATAATTTCATGGCATAAGATTCAACAAACAAGGCGAATTAAGCAACATAAGCTTCGAAATATTCATAAATTTGTGAACAAAAGCATGCAAAATTCAGTAAAACCGAGGTGAGTTTAGAGAAAACCTACATAAATCGGGAAACTAGAGATCAAAAGCTTTAATTTGCAAAAAACTTAAGCAAATTAGGTTAAGAAACGAGTGCGAATGAGTGATTCGATCTTTCGAGCGAAAACCAAACAAAATGAAGCAGCCACGACAAATAGAGAAGAAAGGGGCTTTTATTTTGAAATACCGACTCGAGTTCCAACAAGTGATTCCAGTCGTATCACGACAGCGTCTTTGCGTGGTAATAGCAAGTTTCCAAGCGCGTTTGCTTAGCGACAAGGCATGTTGCCCACATAATCATTTATGCAGACCTAATGGAGCAGTTTGGGTTCCTTGGTACGCTAGTTAGACTATATAAGCATATTGACATGATTAGTTGTCGGCTTGATTATAATCGGACTAGGTGATCAGCCTAACAATGATCGTCTCACTTAGCTTAAAGCGCCTAAGCATTAGCTCATCACAAGCACCAAGTTAATGGTTCACAAGCTAGCACAAGCACCAAGGTATCGGCCAATTTACAAAATGCGTCGAGGTACTGGCACAACAAGCAATCACAGCAAGCAACCGCAACAACTCAACAACACAATGAGTATTCAAGCTAGGATCAACAAACGGTGGTCTTCGATAAATTTTCTCGGAAGATTATCATTATAAAACTGAAGATAGATACAAGAAACGGTCTTTGCCGATATCCCAAGGTAAAGAGTAGATTATCAATAGCGGCGAGGAACAACAGTGGCGAGGTACTGCCAAAACCCTGAAGATGCCTACAAGCAGTCACCTTTGACGTTTTTTCCCTAGGATGTGGAGGATTGTCATAAGTAGTTGAAGATGGTTACAAGAAACGGTCTTCGACGATGGAATTCACGAGGCATTGTGGAGGTTGTCACAACAAAAGCAGCAACGAAATCGGTTACTCTAGAGACGTGTGCTTGACGGTGCAAGATACACGTTTCTTAACTCTTTATTTTTTAACTAACGGTAGTTTGCAGGTATCGGCGTTATAGGAATGGTTTAGGATTGCCAAACGTTTTAAATCATTCTCCGTCCCTATCGCTACTTTGACTTTTGTTTTCGAAACATGCATTTATCAAAACTTAGTCAAAGTAGGGGCGGAAGTGTGAAAAGTCAAACGTTTAAGATTGCCAAACGTTTTCCAAAATGTGTCTCCCCAAAAGCCAAACCCAATGATGCATAATTTTCACGTCGCTTAATTATCGAATGAGGTGGAAGTGTGAAAAGTCTTGTGATGCGGTCCTTTTAATAAAATCTCTCTTTCCGTTTTTGAAAATATTCTCTATTTATGAAAATATCTCTTCCAATTCATCTTTGTCCGTTACAAGGGTCCAATAATAGTATAGTTGGGTCAAGCTCGTAAAGAGATTTCCAATAATATATTATAAGCCTAGTTTCGATGAATAACGGGGAATTTATGGCCAATGTACTAAATTGGGTTTGAAATGGTTTTATGGCCCAATGATCTAGTGGAGGGTCCATTAATTATTATTCCTAAAAATATTAGGATTAACTCTAATCTTCTAAAATAGTACAAAAGGTTATTTCGAGTTCTAATAACATTAGGATTGACGATTATTCTTTTTAGAAAAATAATGATTTTTTTTGAAAAAAAACAAGTGTTTTATTATGATAAAATTTTATTTAAAATTAATTAATACGAAGTTTAATTTCTTAATTTTATTAAGAAAAGGATTCCGTACAAAAGCGTGTTTTGTCTTTTAGTTAGCGCCAAACGACAAAGTCGTCGCCATGCGTGATGCTTGTTGTTTTGCGGTGGGCTCTGTCGCTGACGACAAGAGTCAGTTTTATTCTGGTTCAAATTTTGATTCTTTTCTATCGTTTCCAGACTATTTTCTTATAAATAGGGGTCGTATTTCCATATTTTTATTCATTCACAATCATCAATAGTCATCCTTAATTCTCTCAAGCAATAGCTTATTCTTCTCCCTCTTTCTAAACCTTCCCAAAATACAATACCTCATTCATGAGTTCTAGACACACCTAGCCAAATTTGAAATTTCCTTCGCCCTAGACATGAAAGGATGACAATTTCTTAGGGTTTGGTCCAAAATCTCTATTTTAATTTTTTAAATTAATTGCTTGATTTAATATTTTCCTTGAAGTTACTAACGTGTGTATTGTTTTGATAGAAAGAGATACGAGGCATCGAAGTAAGTAATTACTTTAATTATTCTTTTGATAAAGAAAGCATGTTCATATTATATTAATTCCTAGTATCATGTTAGGATGCTTTTATTGTTTTCTAGTATCATGTTTAGGTTGCTTTCTATTCTTTCTTCTATCAAGTTAGTATCTGTAGACACAAATTTGTGTCTCCCCAAAACCAAACCATGTGATGAGTACCTTTCACGTCGAATCATAATCGAATGAAGTGAAAGTGTGGAAAGTCTAGTGTTGCGGTTAGTTTTATTTCTTCTCTTTCTCTCTGTTTTTGAAAACCTATTTTAAGAAAACAGTCAAACCTGTTTGGTTTGGTCCATGGAAAGGGTCCAATAATGGTGTAGTTGGGTCGAGTTCGAAAAGACCTTTCCAACGATATATTATAAGCCCAATTCCGATGAATGATGAGGAAGTTATGGCCAAATTCCTAAACTGGGCCTGGTTTGATCTTTATATGCGGCCCAATGATCTAGAGGAGGGCCTATTATTGACTTATCATTCCTAATGTGATTAGAATTGATTATAGTCTTCTAGAATCTTCTAGAAAGTTCTTTTCATTCCTAATTTGATTAGCATTGATTTATTAACTTTAGTTGACTTTTAGGAGTTTTAATTAGAATAGAAGAAGTGTTTTTAAGGAAAATACAGTTTTTACCCTCTCATACGCTCAAATTTTATCAAAATAAGAAAACGCGTGGAAAATTGTTTGCAGCGCCATACGACAGCTATGTCGCCTGGCGACAGGCGCGTGTTTTGCGATGTGTTCGTGTTTTATTCTTTTTGAAACTCTGATTTTTGGCTGATTTTCTCTATAAATACCCTCCTAAAATCTTCGTTTTTACCCTCTCGTACGCTCAAATTTTATCATATTCGGCTGATTTTCATTATAAATACCCTCCTAAAATCTCCGTTTTCAATCATCAAGTCTCAATTCTTCCCATCTAATTCTTCTCACCAACTCTCATCAAGAAATTCTTAATTACTCTCTCTCTCTTTTCTAAACTAGTTATTCTCAAACAAAATTCCGCATTAACAAGATCTAGACACACCTAGCCAAGTTCGAAGTTGCCTTCGCCCTAGACGTGAAAGGTTTGATTTCTGAGGGTTTGGTCCCAAATCTAGCCCAAACTTTCTTTAGCTTCTCTCTTTCAATTATTAAATTTAATTGTTTTATATTTTCCTTGAAGTTACTAACGCGTGTATGTTGTTATTAGAAAGAGGTACGACGCATCCAAGTAAGTGCTTTAATTGTTTTATTGATATTATGATATAGAAATCATGTCTAGGTTGTTATTATGATTCCTAGTGTCATGTTAGGGGGTTTTGATCTTCTTAGTATCATGTTTAGGGTAAAGAATAAGTTCCTTAGATCAATTATGATTTCTGTGATGCCT